GCAACTTGTGGGAACGTTTCCAAACTTTGGTTGAGCAACTTGTAGCGGAGACATTATTACATTGATACATATTATTATCATTTATTTATTTTATTTTTTAAAATTTAATTAAGTTCTAATGTGGATATTTACTGCTGAATGCTGTGATTATTGGAATTTTAACGAATAAAAAAATTTTCGCATACGACGTTTGAGTCTTCGTTTTGTTAGTTTGAATAATGAGGAAAATAAAAATAAATAATACGACCACACATAAGATGCCATACAAACGAGTGCTGTCTCAGAGGCCCCTTGAGTCTATGAATGCGTTTTAAAAAGATGTATTTTTAAAGTTTATTAAGATGACTCAGTAAGAAACATGGTTTCGTTTGGTAGGCAACTCTTTCTTAAAGTCAACACCGACAAGAATTTGACAAAAGAAAGGTATAAGAAAATTTTGAGAATCTACGAAGTGATCTAGTGTAACAGTAATGTGATATGATACGAGGCTAGGTTATTTTCTGAAGATTTTGCGATGGGATTTCATAAGTTGGAACTGAGATTGTGTAAACAATGGTAGAAGAGCTGGAGACGAAAAAGTGTAGCATTGGAAGAAAATGGAAAAAGTGGAACTTTGCAAGTACGAGTCTAATTGTTCTGATCTAGGTGGTCCGCAGTTTAATTATTGAAAAGTTGTATGCAACACAGAACTGCAATACAGTCCTGATTAAATTTTAAGTTAGTCATCTATAAACGACAAATAACACAAATAACAACTCGAATTAGTTTTCAATATAGAAATCTAGATGTCATTAAATAAACATCACAGCGATTATTATCATGAAGTGTGTAAAATTTTTGATTGTTCAGCAAATAAAAAACGTGCTACATAAATGTTATTATTCAGATAATGTTAAATTCAAGATAACATGCGCAAAAGTGGGTAACCTCTGTTCATTTTCAGGAGTAAAAGCCAAAATGCACAGTAAGCGCTTGACAATGAAAATTCAACATGTCACACACACACATACACACGTGTCTGCCATGTGTGTATATTACACACAAATGTGTATGTTTGTATATGTAATATATATATATAATATGCACATAATATATATATAGCCCTATTTTAGTTTTAAGAAGCAAGTGGTATTATTTATTTGCGATAGATTTGTTGAGATACAATACAATTAAAGAAAAAAGCAAACATGTCAAAAGTGACCTGCCTTCTGGTTGGCGCTCTCTCGCTGGTCTGGTTGGTACTTGGCGCCATGCATTCGGCGCTATATAAATTACAAATTATACACCATATAAGCTAAACCTTCTTGTTATTGTTTTTGTTATTATTATTATTTAGCCACTCATTTTATTATTTCAGATGCAATAGCTTTATTAATTAGCTTTTTTAATTTAGTTAAATATTGCTTAACAATTGAAATATTGAGATGAACAAATAAATAAATAAAACAACAACAACATCCAGTTTGGCGTCTGCCCTCCAGTTCCCAGAAGTGGTTGGAAAGGTTGTTGTTGTTGCTGTTGTTGATGTTGTTGTTGTTGCTGTTGTTGATGTTGTTGTTGTTGTTGCTGTTGTTGATGTTGTTGCTGTCGATCCATCTCTATTGAGTGATGATTTTTTCAATGTAGAGTTTTATATATGGCGTCAACTATGCATCACGTATTAAAAGATAGTTAGAAGTTATTATGGTGTTTGAGTAAGATTATGAGTTACAACAAATTTAATATATATATTTACTATCAATATTTAATGAAGGTCCAGATCAGATTAATTTAACGGTATTGATATTGTAAATAGAAAACTGTTGGCATGTTTAACTGTATCCGATCAATGTGGAAATTGTTTACAATTCTGAACATCTAACGTTTAATTTTTCGCTAAGATTGCTGCACTCAACTCTCATCTGGTCATTATTTTTGTTTCTGGAATCAAATAAAAATTATATTTAAAACATATTTGGCGTTTCAATTATTTCCACAGAGAGGTGAAGAAGCCAGGGAAATGATTCTCAGCAAGATGCCCAACTTGAAGGTAAATGTTCAAATTTATTCATCTAAAATCATGTTTGTTCAACTTCAATGTTTTTCATTTTTGTAGCAAACGTTTTAGGAATGCAATTTTATGTACTAGTAGCTATTTCTAACTCTAAAACACGTTCTCCATTGTATTATATTGTATCGTATCGTATCGTTTTGTGTTACCGGATTCATACATCACTTATCATGAATTGACTTCAGAAGCGCGTCTTATGTAGTATGAATGTGGAAATTAAAAGCTAAAAGGGGTTAGGCGCTATATAAATTAAAATTTTTATTTTTATGTTCATCTGACTAAATTTTAAAATCAAACTCGGCATGAAAATCCAATCTACGAGCGACTTTTAAAAATTTGTTTCAAACTTTCAAACTCTCGGTCAATTGAAAGGTCTTCATCGTGAAGGAAGGCTCCGCGGTGACAGCAGACTACATGACTGACAGAGTAAGAATCTTCGTGAACCATGATGGCATGGTCGTTGGCGTTCCATCCACTGGCTGAGAATAATGAGGATGAAGAGTTCTTCATGCTGGGTCGGTTGCATTGCTGACATCAACGAACTTGTGATTTTGGTTCATAAATTGTTACATTAACGTTATTTTTCTTAAATTATGACAGCAATGTTTGTTGGATGTTGTAATTATTAAAATTTTAATGAATAAAAAAATGCTAGCATGAAGTTTGATGTCATTTTATTTTCCAAATTATAAACTGTTACTTTAACATTACCTTGATCTCTACATGGCGCCAGTATTCGCTGAATGTGTTGGTTATTATTTAAATTTTAATGAGAAAAAAATATTATCCTGAGATGTGATGTTTCAAGTTTTTTATTAATGGATGTCATTTCATTCTGTAGCCATCTATTGACCGAAACATTTCAAACAATCATTAATTAATTGTTTCATATCTTTCGAGTGTGATATGTCTCAATGACAAATTACAATTTCGTATAAATGAATCATGTTGAATGGGTGTATGTATGCGTGTGTGTGTGTGGGTGCGTGCGTGCGTGCGTACAAGCAGTTGAGATAACAAACCAATTTGTTTACTATCACATGAAAATGATGAGATAAGAACTTTGAAGACGATGATATTGGTGTACCGAATTTGGGAAATGAGCCTTATGTTAGTAATTCTTACAATAGTGATATTGACGATAATGATTATTATGATTGTGATGATGATGATTGTGATGATGATGATGATTAAAAAGATTATGATTGATTGATAGTATGAGTAATAGGATTAAAATGACGATGACGATGCTGATAATAATGATAATAATGATGATTGATAATGATAATAATAATGATGATGACTACGACGACGACGACGTGTTGTTTGTCATACTTCACTGATTTGTTAATTTGTGACGTCATGTGGGTAGAAAGATCCCTTGGATGAAAATGATGATGATGATGACAATGGTGGAGATGGTAATGATTATGATAACGTTGATGATGAAGACGATGATGAATATGATGTGACTGATGTCAAATAAAATAACATCAGATAGCTCCATTCATTGAAGCCCACAAAAATATAACTGTATATTAATAACAAATAATGAACTTTTGAAAAAACACAACATGATATGTCTTTTACAGTGACTATGTGGCAGATGAGTTGATGGAGGTAATGAAATAAATGTTATATGTACAGATTTCGAAGAAGCTTTTGATAAAGTACCCCATAAAGTTAATTAATAAGTTGAAAGCATATAGTGTAAACAATGAAATTATTGATTGAATTAAATATTATTTAAAAAAATAGAACCTAATTGTTAAAGTTGGTAACGATCTATCAGACAGTTTTGAAGTTATGAGTGGCTCACCTCAAGGGAGTGTTTCAGGACCAGTGTTATTTGTGTTTTTATGTGAATAATATTTTTAAAATTTGTGTTGCAATGAATGAAATGAGTATTAATTTATATGCTGATGATGCTAAGAATTATAAAAATGTGTGTTCTGACACAGACAGGATGATTGTGCTGCTAGCATGCTTGAATGGTTTGTTTGATAGGAGTGTTAATTGGGGTTTAAAGTTGAACTTGGATGAATGTCTTGCTGTGAGGTATGGTGGTGTTAAATTGGATCGTGATTTTTCTTATACGATAATAAATGGTAATAAAATGAAATATTGGGGTATAAATGATTTAAGAGTGCTTTTTGATGATGGTCTGAAATTTCACAAACATTTTTATGATTGTATAAACAAATGTTATAGTACATTTGAAGTGATTTGGCGCCATTTTAGAAATTTATCTGTTAATTCGTTTTTATTATTATATAAATCTGTAGTGAGATTAAAAAAATGAATATGCTGCTTTCGTGTGGTCTCCACGGAATTTGAAGTTGATTGAGGACATTGAAAGGGTACAAAAAAGAGCTGCCAAAATTACAGTGGAATGCAAAGGATTGAACTATATCAGCAGACTGAAGTTACTGGATCTGCCAAAGCTAAAATATATACAGACATATCAGGGCAGATTTGATCGCGGTTCTTGTTGCACACTCCTGAGTTGTTTCCATGTTACACGCAGTTGCTGAAGGCAAATGACGGAGAACAAGAGGACACGTGTATAAGTTATCAGTCCATACATGCCCTAAACAATTAGAAAATTTTGTTTTGTTAATAGGTTTGTTAAACATTGGAATGATTTGAGGGAGGATATGGCGAATGCTGGAAAAGTTAACGTTTTCAAAATGAAATTGGATTGTTTTATGAAGAATGTGGGTGTTAAGCATGCTTGGAAAAGCAGTGTATAAGTGGTTATGATTGATATGTATAAAAAAATCAAGTGGAAATATACTGACTCTAAACTTAATAATCTTGAATAAACTGCAAAAACTTGACAATAATAATAATGTAACCTGGTGAACTGGAGAAGTTATTCTTTTAACCCTTGAACGCTCATAATCACCAACACCGATGTTATAAAACTTCTATGATCTCTATATTTCTG